GGCTGTATCTGTCAAGATTGAACAGTTTTAAAGCAAAGCAAAAGCGTGCTGCTTTAAGTAGTGGAGAGTGAACAGTTTTAAGTAGTGGACGTTCTGTTTGCCCCTTTCTTCTTTGCATGGTTGGATTTGTTTTCTAGAGCTATGTTTTGTGGACATTATGAACCTCTGGCTGGAGGCAGAATATCTTACAGCACTTCTAAAAATCCTGGCTGAGGTGTCTCATGCTGTCAAGGCAGCCTAAATCATTGAGGACAAGGGATTTAGGAAGCATTCTCGACATCACTAATTGAACTTAGACTGATAGTTGTCCTTGTCTTTCTGTATCAGTGTTTCCAAATCCGTCAGTTCTAATTTCTGTCTGTATTAGGGGTTTGAATCTTCTTCACTGATTTCATTCTCACAAGTGAAAACAAGAAGAACAAAAATGTTTTTTTCCGTTGTGTGAGAGGACTGTGAGAGTTTTTTTCTGCATTTTTCTCATTTGGGGAGTTTTTGTGAAAAATTACTGGGGCTTAGTGCAAAAAAAAAGTATATATTTTGCACAAGACTCCTATATTTTACAAAAGAAAGGCAGACAGACCACATTATTTTAGGTAACATATGAGCTTATTTGTCTAGATTCTCTTTACATCAACATTTTTAATGCAGGTATCCTCAGGCTGAGATCCTGCTGTTTAACATACTAAGTTTCAACTAGAGTAGGCCCACTTGAATCAGTGTAACTTATAGAGGAAATAATTCACCAAATCCTCATTGATTCAATGGGCCTATCTTCTAATGTGACTTACTATGCTATGCAAAAGAATTTTAGCCTCCTTAGTTTATATACTTCATGATGATAACAGATAAGGGAAGAAATGGTGGTAGATACACTTACCTTCCCGCCCCCCGAATCAACGTTATAAAAATTACACATCTAATTTATGTGAGTGGTGAACTCAGCCCCTCAAAAATACTCATTTAATTAGAAGAAGAATTTATTGCCCTCCAGGTAGGTAAAGACAGTTGGTCCTGGCTTTTTAGAGTCTTTGTTCAAGAACATCTGTGTTCAAACGGCTGTTGTTAATAAATGATGTTGGTAATTTAAAAGAAGAAAAGAGATTAAGTCTCCCTATAATGTCATTCTATTTTTTAAAGTTCTGAACATCAAATGTACGTGAGGGCAAATGATTCAACTGTTAAAGCAACACTTTATTAAAGCAAAACTATTGTTGGTATAGAACCTTTCTCTTGTATTCTCTTGTATATATTGGTTGCCTATTGAATAAGTATGTGGATTTAACTCAAGGTTATACCTGTAGTAGCTACAGTCATGCCAAAGGTATAGAACCTTTCTCTTGTATTCTCTTGCATATATTGGTTGAAGTCCTATTGAATAAGTATGTGGATGTAACTCAAGGTTGTACCTGTAGTAGCTACAGTCATGCCAAAGTGTTGTTCATGAAGCATTTTCACCATTGCATTGCATAATCAATCAAAATGGGAACTGCCTGACCAATTACACAATTGAATTGGGCAGTCCTTGTTGCCAGGGCAAAACACCCAGATATTTACAACAGTGTAACATTATGTTACACCTTGACAAACAGGATTCCAACCATCGATTCAAAAACCATAGTTTTCTCTACCAAACACCGGTTTGACGGAAATGTGATCCGCCAAATCAGTGCTTTGTGCCCATCTCCGATTACATATAATCATCTAGAACTTTATGCATTGTTCACTATAAGAATAATCACCCAGTCTATTATTTCATTTGATTGACAAATGTAGCCATTGTGTTTTATACATACTGAGGATTTTGGTCTATATTAGACATTTTCCCTTTATGTGGTCTGTACACAGCTCCAGTAGATTGATTATGACATGCCTGCACAGTCCCATGCGATTAATTTGGTAACTCACAAGACATACCCTGCTGCAGTTGTTCTTAAGCTAAAAAGCAATGATTGAGTGGTTTAGGAAAACCCCCTTTTCCCTCCACCCCCCAAACCCTTCACCAGGCTCCCTTGATTCCCATCTTACCTTATACAGAGCTCCCTTTTTAGGACTTCATTGTCTTTTTCATCAGTATTCAAATTAAACCTCAGAGTTATTTAAGATATAGTTTCTGTGAGCTGTGTCATGGGCCACTCCAGTTAGATCATGTGGAGAAGCCAGAAATAGTGGGGAAAGTGGCTGCTACAAATATTTCCCATTGGCCTGTCCTGGCAAGAAGCATAGTATACATGTGGACATACAGTAGCGAGCCCTACGTTCCACATTGCATGGTTCATTTTCCAAGGAGTTGGTGAAAAATTGCCAGCACAAGGGAAACCGAATAATGTAGATCTGTCCTTACAGAAATATTTTATAAATTTCTGGGCGCTATATTCATGTGGTATTTTCTCGTGTAAAAAGTCTCTTGTGAGTAAACTACAGTGGGGTCTTGACTTGAGAACTTAATCCGTATTGGAAGGCGGTTCTCAAGTCAAAAAGTTCTCAGGTCAAATCTGCATTTCTCATAGGAATGCATTGAAAACCATTTGATCCGTATCTGCTCTTTTCTGTCCATAGAAACTAATGGGAAGCTGCTATTCCGCCTTCGACCACTGGAGGGGGATATTTTGTTTCTTTTTTTCTTAGGTCAAGAAAGGTTCAGGGAAGGCAGGGAAAATACAGTCCACGCAGTACAGTACCAGGCAGTCCGAAGACTGTCTCCCAATCCACTCTCTAAACGCTGGGAGGAGTGAGGAAGCAGACAGGCACCCTTTTCACTGGCCAACAGTTAACTGAAAGTTCAAATTTTGCACTTTCCCTGCCTCCCACGTGGTTTTTTTTAGTTCGTAACTCAAATCTAAGTACGTAAGTCAAGTCAATATTTTCCTATGAGAGCGGTTCATAAGTCAAAATGTTCTTAACTCGAGCCGTTCTTAAGTGAAGACCCCACTGTATAATAATACCATATAAAATTCTTATTTTTTAAAAAATCGCTCATAGGAGCACTTAAATTGACAAAATCTTCACAAGAGCTACACAGTTCTTCAGTCTTCCATTTGGCTGGCAATACTTAATAGTCTGCTAGCATAGGTAACGCATACAGGTAGCTTCTTGCTAGGTTTGTGAATGTCAGAAATATAAAATCCACAACTCACGGTGCTGTTAATAAGCAAGTGATGTTTTCTTTTTCTTGTACATCAAACATTTTCAGAAGTATTTCCATGTGGGAGTAAGATAGGGCACATGACAGAGCATGGAGAAGTTATGGCCATGCTGACTTGGGTGATATAGCTGAGAAAAGCCACTTCTCCATATGCCTTTATGACAGTGGGCAGAATCCTGTTGTGTAACTTTGTACCATCATAACCTGGATCGAGGCCCAGAAATATTAATTTTCACTAACTAAAAGCTTCCTATCTCCCTCCATTTTAAGTTCAAACTTTCTCCAGAGCTCTCTTTTGCTCTGTGGAAGCTTTGGGGAGCCTTAGGACTGGCGGAGGGGGTCTAAAAGTTTTTTTTAATGGTACCAGATCAGTGGCAGTGGTCCTGATACTAGTAGCAACAATTTGGCAGCAGTTTTTGACTGTTAAATGATCCCCCTTCTCCCGCCCCAAGACTCCTAAGTGTCTCCTGAGGGCAAAAGGGAAACCTAGGTACCCTGAGGCCTGAAATAAGAAGCTTTTGATTAGTTTAAATTACATGTTTCCAAGCCCAATTGGTGTTAGGCCAGGCAGAAAGTTACGCAAGAGGATTTTGCCCCAAAATGTGGAAATTCTGTTCCATAAATTATGTAAGACTAATGATGTAAGACTAATGATGTCATCAGCTGCTGTGATTTTGCAGGAATAAAAAAACTCCAATCCCCTCCCCCAAAGTCCCCAAAGGTTCCCATGGAATACCATCTGTCACGGGAAACCTGTTTGGGGTTATGAGATAATGGAGAAAGTCTGTAATTTCCAAAATAATGCCACTCTGATGACATCCACAGACATGCACAGGATACAAGTGTGAACTGAATTTTAGCCAACATGTAAATCTGTCTTTGTATTTAAAATCTGAATGATGTTTTCAGAGGTGCATGAAACAGTCAATTCCCCTTTCCCCCAAAACACAGTACTAACAACTTTTTAAAGAGATTTTTGGTTTCTTTTGTCCAGCTGCACGTTGGAATTGTTGTAAAATCAAGACCCTGGGAGTTAGAAGCAAGGGTGGGATGTTATTAATTGCAGGCTGCATGCAAATCCTAAGGTGTGAGCCTGATGTGGCTCCACAGATTTTACCCCTTTGGGACCAGAGTGGACTATTTGTCCTGTTTCTGGTGAAAAAGTGCTGAAATACTGTCTTTGTAGCAACAATTTTTCCTTTTGCTGGCCAGATTTGTATGGTGCAGATTGGCTGGCTCCTCTGGCAGTCATGAAGCCATGCTTATAGCAGTGTTTCACGTAAAGTAAAATAAAACAAAAAGCTGGCTGAAGAGGAAAGACAGCCGGTTAAGGCTCAACACTCAGGATAAAAATGCTAAGGATTTGAGAACATGACAAATGTATGTTTGAAATATGGATAAGAATTTAGTATAGAACTGAAAACTGGTAAGAGCCTTCCAGCAACGAGACCCCTCCTACTGATGGAAAGAAGGGGCTACACCTCTATGCAGCCTAAGGTGACCACCAGCTAAAGTAAAAAGTTAAGTCCTGCTGACTTAAAAATGTTTTATGCCTTACTTGGGCATAAATCTTTTTTAAAAGTCAGTAGTACTTATTTCCGAATAGTCACATGTAGAATTTTGGAAGAATCATTCTTTGACATGTATTTGTGAAGGCTTTCATGGCCGAGATCTAATGGTTGTTGCGGGTTTTTCGGGCTCTTTGACACTTTGCAGATTTTTTTTATTTGCCACACATACTGATATAACTGGTACTGTCACCTTTTTTTTCAATCAAAATTATGTCTTGACAACATTTTTAATGAAAAGTGAACATTTTTAACCCTGAAGGGCTGACTTTTCCCCCTTCTTTTTGCAGACTGGTATTTGCGAAGCTAAAGCTCTTAATGATAGCCATAGAATATAAGTCGGAAAAACGGGAAAGCAGGTATGTAATTTTGTGTTTTTTTTTTAAAAAAAAAATCATAGTGCACTCTTTGATCATTTGGCCTGCTTGGATTGCGTTCTTTCTTTCTTTTCTGAATGGGGAATGGGGTTTTATATCTATGAAAACATTTTATATCCCAGTCATTGTGGCATCACTACACCTGCTCACATAATCCAACCAAATGGCTGCATCATCACTCCAGAATCAGATTCTCAGAGTTGATCCAAACGAACAGTAGTTTAATTTGTGCTGCTTTTAAGATCCCTTTGAAAAAAAAAATTGGATTCTGTCCTTGATGCTCCTTGGGAAAGAATCCAACCCCCCCAGTTAAAAACCTATGTAAGCCGCCTTGAGTAGACGCTATCTAGAGGGGTGGGGTAAAAAATCAAATAAATAAATAAATAAATAAATTAGAGGCGGACTGACAAATGGAAGATAAGAAACCTGCACTCAGTACCATTTGACCATCACAAACACTTCCAAATGAAGTCTGTTTGTAAGAGTGTTGCACTGCGAGTCTTGTGCAAAGCCTGGCTTAAATCACCTTGTGCATTGATAGATATTTATCATTTTTTTCTTATTTATCCAAATAAACAGTCATGCATATTAAAAAATGTTCTGCCGGACAATGACACTAGTCAAGGTTGTTTTAAGGCCTGTTTTGTTTCATGTCCAGAACCTAGAAGACATCATGAAAGGAAAAGAGAAAACATGCTGAATTCCCCCCCCCCCAAAAAAAGACCTAGAAAAGAAACATTAAGCTCTGAAATATTCAGGAACAATAAGGCATTCACATTCAGTTACCATGATTGATATTAATACACATATTTATTTATTAATCCCTATTAACTGTAAAATCCATGTTGACATTTCCAGCCATCCTGCTTACTCCACTGAATCTACAGAACGATCCATACTGTTTTAAAGTTCACATTTTGGTTCATACAAGCCACTGAAGGAGACCACACAGACAGCACTTTTTCATTTCACGGTTAACAAGGATTGATTTTATTTGCAATTGGTCAATCAGTGTTTCATAATGTGTACTTAGCACAGGCTTTAGGCCTTGTACCACTGTCAAGAGAAGTCATTTTTGCCCGAGTAAAAGCTGTGTGAAAGTATGGGCAGGCAATGTCCCACACAACCTGGTCCACTACATTAGGGTTGTGGGACCCACCCAAGCAATCTCACAGAGAGAAGCCATTGGGATGAGGCAGTGGGCCCCTGGAAATGCTTATTAATTTCAGCAAAAAGGTGGAGAGAATGAAGCAGGAGAGAAAAAGCCAAAGTAGCAAGGCTGAGGCAATGTTTTTCAGCATGTTCAGGACACAAAGTCATACAATTGAGGACTATTTAAAAAAAGCTGCAAGTTTGGAATTACAAGTGGTCCATGCCCTCATGGTCCCCTTTTCAGGAACTTCTCTAAATAGAATACACATCTTTCTTCAGGAAGAGTGTGCTATGTATGTCCTTCCCCCTCCATTGGAGGGCAATATACACTTGATGATATGCCATCAGGCCAGAGTTATTCTACACAAAGCCCTCTAAAGTGCTGAATCCTCAAGATGCTTATTTGTGGTTCAATTCATTTGTATCCCACACTTCCTTGAAGGTACTTCCTGTAGCCCCTTGCCCCATTTTATCCTCGCAACATAGCTGAAGCCAGGAGATAATGACCGGCCCAAGGTCATTCAGTGAACTGTATGGCTAATGGAATTTGAACACTTGTCTTCTGTGTCTAAAGGCCAAACAAGATGTGACATAAGAGGCATGCATTAGCTCTTGAGTTGTTTTCTTTTTAAGAAATGTATCGGCTTGGACTCAAAAGTACTTCATTGGAGCTGAGTCATGTGGGAGGAGGTCCATTCACACTTGCCTCACACGCTATCAAAGTGCTTATTCTAAACTAGTTTACCATCTATAGAGGAGGTGGAGAAACACCATCAATGAACCGTTTTATCTGTGAGAGGAAAACCAGCACAATAGACCATTTGTGAAACTGCAAAGTTATCTTGGTCCGTACAATCCAGGGTCCCCAGGTCTAGCCTTCTCCCTCAGTGACAAAAGAGAGAGAAGCAACTGAGAGGAGCTACAGAAAACAGGCCATTCTCTCACAGCCATTTCAGGGTTCCCTGAGGGTGATGTTACTTGCCATTGCAAGCATTGTTTTTTTCATATAAAGGTGCAAATGATTATGTAGTTGCTTTTACTGGGCTAAATCCAGTTTTTACTCTCAACTAAATAAATCTGCTGAATGAACACTTTTGTGGTTCTCTGTGGTTCAGTGGGTCTACTCTGATTTACACTCGCAATTGAATTAACCTGAATGCTTTTCTTTTTTTAAAAAACAAACAAACACCCAATACTTACTCTCAAGGAAATGTGCTTCACATCAGAGCAGCAGAAATAATTACAATTTATTTGTATAGACATAATTTAAAATGCTAGAAACATTTAAAATAGTTTAATATGTGACTATGTTTTAATATCAAGGCTGCCAGACATGGGGGAGATTGTGGTTTTGTGAGATACCAGAAATATAGAAGCAGTTGACAAGATGACAGAGAAAAGCATGTTAGTTGTATGCTACACAGTGGCAGAGAAGTAATGGAGCCATTGAACCGTTAAGCCTGGGGGTCTAAAATTAGATAGTTGCAGCACAGTTTGCCATGAAAATGCTGTTGTAGGGACATGGGAGACCTGACATGGTACCATTTCAGTGGCATACACAGTTCCATTTCCATAAACTACATTTTAAGGAGAGAGAAAGAGAAAATACCTGCCTCTTGTGCCATGCTTTGTTTAGCTCTAAGTCAGATACTCCTGGTTGCTTAGAAGTCAGAATTTCCCAGTGCTGTTGTTCTGTTAGTTTGTTCTGCTTTGTATGCTTCAGATTTGTGTAGAAAGTTACAGATTTAACACAACTGAATATTGAGAGGAAGGAGCAAAAGCTATATGAAACATTGATGTTTGGTGCCCTATTGTTGATTGGTGGCATTTTCTCTGTCTTTGTTTTCATAGTCCTCGGCCTCATTTGATCAAGCTGCTTTTTAATTTAATTGTCTCTGATGAATATGCATACCCTCAAAATTCTCTTGAGCGATGCCTAGAAAAGAATACCAGGGTGAGAGTAAAAATAAAAATCTCAGTGAAAGGAAAGACAAACTGTCAAGTCTGCTGGTTCCTGCATACTGTGCAGTGTATGAACAGAGCCTTTGGCAGCCAGGGTGGATTATGGGGGCATTAGCAGTGAGAGTTAAGATCGCGTTGCCTGCTAAAGCCCTCATAGGTCTCTTCAGATAGGACACCAATAGTGTATAGATTGTTTCATTGTATTGCCTGTGGCTGATTTTCAGAGGCCCTGAGATTGATTTCTCTCCTGCCTTTCTTCCATTCATGGGATTCAGGCCACTTACAGGTTTTTTTTAAAAAAATTAAACAAAAAAACAAAAACAAATAAATGCATTTAAAACATTAAGAATACATTTTAAAAACCTGCCAGTTAAACAAAATGTGACATCCAAACAGCTAAATGCCTTTTTCAAGGCAAGCTGGTCTGTTGCGGAATGCCCATGTGGATGAATGACAAGAGGCCATGAGCCAACCCAACCTCTCTTGGAAAGGAGTTCCAGAACCTCAGAGTTACCACTAAGAAAGTCCATGGTGCAATTTAGGCAGAAAGTCCTCGACTTTATTAATGTCTTGTGGTGGGTGATTTTCAGCTCACATGTCTCCTTTCATGCTGTGGCATTTTTTATGTTGAGTAAGAACTAGAATAAACTGGTTATCGAAAAGCTGTTTGTTCCTGAGTGAGAGAGAAACAATAGCTACCAGGTGAAACCACGTTGTGGCGCTGCGGGTTAAACTGCAGAAGCCTCTGTGCTGCAAGGTCAGAAGACCTCCAGTCATAAGATCGAATCCACACGACAGAGTGAGCTCCCGTCACTAGTCCCAGCTCCCGCCAACCTAGCAGTTTGAAAGCATGCAAATGCAAGTAGATAAATAGGTACCACCACGACGGGAAGGTAACGGCATTCCGTGACTAGCCACACTGGCCACGTGACCACGGAAGATTGTCTTCGGACAAACGCTAGCTTTATGGGTTGGAAACGGAGATGAGCACCGCCCCCTAGAGTCGGATATGACTGGACAAATTGTCAAGGGGAAACTTTACCTTTACCTAAAACCAAGGAAGTAGATAAATAGGTACCACCACGACGGGAAGGTAACGGCATTCCGTGACTAGCCACACTGGCCACGTGACCACGGAAGATTGTCTTCGGACAAACGCTAGCTTTATGGGTTGGAAACGGAGATGAGCACCGCCCCCTAGAGTCAGATATGACTGGACAAATTGTCAAAGGGAACCTTTACCTTTACCTAAAACCAAGGGGGGGATAAATGCTAAGGCTTAACTCTGATCCCCCCAGAGGCCATCCATGATAATGCTTTCTGTACCCCATGTCTGATTTTTGCCCTGTAACACCCCACCCCCCCAATCTATAGAAATTAATGTAACTGAAAAAAGCCTTCTGAAGCAAGCCATACCTTGTGGACTGGTAAAATTGTCTTAACTTCTACCATTTTGAAAAATAGAACTATGTGAATAACCTTTCACTTGGCAACCAAAAATGTCCTCATTTTGGACATTGTGTTGTAATGACTGACAAAATACTGTAGTTTCCCAAGGTCAGAAGTATTAAAAAGCAGTGTGAGCAAATTAGGATGAAGCAACATTAGAGGATGGAAAATAGCAACAAAAAATAATGAAACTATTAAAATGTATCTGCATAAAAAGTAAAAATAATAATATTTTCTCTAGTCCTGAAGCTAAAGTTGAGCATAAAAATAAAGAAGTTGTATTAAAACAGCCCCAATTTCATCTGAGTAAGACACCTTGACCACTGAAGGAAGTTTTTCTCTTTAGGAATTTTTTCAGCTTGAAATGTATTGGACTCCGTTGTGGTTGACTCACGGGCAAGACTTTCCTAGCATCCATGAGGTTTAACAGCATTTAATGGGTGGCCTTCATCTGGAACTACTGACCCAGAGAAACACTAGGCCAGTCGTTCATTGTAAAGGACATGCTAATTCTGTTTTACTTTCATAATCCTTTGAACAGGATTTCTCTTCCCACTTAGAAAATTATTGATCTCCAACATGGCGTCTTATCACTTTTTCTCCTCGGTGACATGTATACTTTATGAAACCACAGATTCAATGCTCTTCATTATGCTGGGTTTAGAAAAAGCCAGGTGTGCTGGGTCTAACACTCTGCTGATAAGAATTATGTGAAAAGGATATACGTAATTCTAGAAGTTTGTTCTGTGCTGTCTATTACTAATGTCAGTTTATTTCAAAGGCCTCCTTTTGCCATCCTGCTCAAAAATTTAATTAAAATTAGTTCACACCCAAAATAAGTTCCCGTTGAGCAGCCCGGTGTTGCATTATCAAATGTAAAACCAATACTTGATTTTGTTCGTTGCTCGTTACCATGTTGCTCGTTACCAGCCATGAACAATATGTTATCAATATTAAGAGCAATTGCTTGTATAGGGTTCATTTCTAATTTTTTGCAGTATTTTTTTTCCTTGCCATTTACTAACATGCATAACAAATATAGCTTCCTATATTCTTCCTTCAGTTAAACACTGGACAATTTATGTTTTAAGTTATTAAGAGTCATTATATGTACCTCAGAGGGAAGTGGAATAAATCATTTTATCATAAAATTAGGTAGAAATTTATCACCTGAAGTTGCATATTAAAGTATATCCTTAGAAATGCACAGACTACAAAAGGGTACATAAGGTTTCTCATAGCAAATAGGTTTGTGAACATGTTTTTTTTCCCCCCAAAGATGTGTTGCATAAATTTAAATATATTCAGAGAGGTGAGCTCCCTTTTCTAATTTTGATGAGCAGAGTTGAGGTGAGCTTGAGCCTGTTTTGAACAGACCATGCCTTTGCCTTTTCTCCCCTGGGCTGACACAAGTCACATAGTAGAGCTAACAGCTAGAGATCTCAAACCATGATGAACCATTTTTTTCCATTCTGGTTATCAGGCTAGGAAATACCAACAATAAGTACCAGTTGGATTATGTGAACCATCAAATCTGTGTTTATGGTCAAACAGATACTGAGATTTCTGAAACAGAATTGGTTGCTGTGTATTTTCTAAGCAACAGTGTCATTATCATATTGCCTTCCAGTCTCTAACAAGCTGGGCAAAGTCCTGAAAATATATTATTTTAAACCAACAGAACACGTACTTAGGGATAGCTATTACTGTTTCCTCTAAGAGGGGCTTCCAGATGCTTTCTACCAGTTTGTGGTGTGGTGTTCTATGGAGTTTGGGTCAACTGAGCCTACCTTGTTGAGCTTTTCAAAGGGATGCGTTCAGTTTAAACTCATGATGTCTTTGAGCCTGAGGAAAGACATTACTGTTGGTCAAAATCAGAACTGAAACATCCCATCTGAAAGCACTATTGAAAGAAGGTTTAAAAAGTATGAGTGGCATACAAAGCCACGACATCTTTCGTTGGATGCAAATTTTACCACGAATCTCTTTCTTTTGCCAGAGAAAGTAAAAACGGAAAGACGAACAACACTCTTCTTTCATGTACCCTATGTTTACTCCTCCGTTGAACTTTCTCCCTGTCTCTCCATTTTATTTGTCCTTGTTCTCAGCAGAAAAACCTTTTCTTAATTTAAAAAAACAAACATGGTGCAGCCTTTGGAAGACTTGGAATAAAAAGGTTTTTTTGCCTTTGTTTTAGTGTCAGTTGATTTCCTATCAAAGTGTTTGATTTGCAATTTTTTTCTTGTCGTTTGCAGAAGCCGAAAGCGGTATGCCCTCTTCGTTACCTTTCCTTCCAACCTCAACCCTACCTTCACTCCTTCTAACTTCAGGACTAATCCCTTGCCAAGAGTGCAGGAAGATAACATCTTTGTCTATCTTTCTCTCAATATATATATAAATATATAAATGTAGATATATATATACATATATATATATATGAGTCCCCCCACAGTTTGAAAGAGAGAAAGCTCTATAGGAGCAGTTGGGTTTCTTCGTTGTTTCTTGTGACTTACGCACTAACTTCTTTGCAGGAATATGTGTGTATATCTGCATATATACCCACAGACACAAATGAAATTCAGATACAAGACGTTGTCTTAAGACATCCTAGGTGCATAAAATTAGCACAACTGTCTCTCCTGTCCAGTACTCTTCCCCCTCCCCCATTTTATGTACTTGCCTTCTGTTGCAACAGTGTCTGCAGCCTGTCTCTTATTAACCTTTGTGCTGCCCCATTGTCTTTGTATTCACACCTTTGCTGAAATATCCCTAGAGTTCTTCTTCAACATACCTGTTAAACACAGTATTTCATCTCCTTTAGTTTCCCTTTTCCATAAAAAGAGTATGAATGCCTTGATTTTGTCTTTATTCCATTTTGTTTAAATGTTGGATATTACTGTACATTGAATCAAAATAATTGAAATACAGTACCGCCCAGAAACTGCTGTATTATTTTATCAGTGCACACTGTGTATCCTTTTGTATGACATATTCATATTCACTCAAACCCAGAAGGCACTGACTAGAACCTTTGAATGAATTGGCTTCTTTCCCCTATTTTGCACTGGCATGTTTTATATATTATTTTAGATTGCTGACATTCAGTACCCCATCTCAAGCTTACATGCCATCTTGCTGTTGTGAATTTGAAATAATTAAGGCATGACTTACCAAATCCCTTTTATTTCTCTATTATTTTACTAGTTTGAACTTCACGAGTGCCAACAGGGACCTGCTCATTATTGACATACATTTCGTTTCCTCCTGAACTGTTACACCAAACTTATTTTTTTTTCTTTCTCTCTCTCGTGCTCCTGTTTTTGTCTTATCATTCTGTGTAGTGTGTAACATTTTTCTTTTTAGTTCTTACCTCCTGTGGATTTGGAGTAGATATGCGAAAAAAGAGAGGTGACTTCCTGTCAGTTTGGCATTATTCATATGATCCAACTGCAGAGAAGTTACTGCAACACTTTGGCATCTTCAAGGATCTGCAGTTGTTGCACCTCTTATTTGGCTTCTTGTTTATCAGTAATTTTAACCTTGTGGTAAAGGCATGCTTAGCAGTGTGAGAAAAGTGTGTGGTTTAAAATGTGCACTGGCTTGCTCCCAGAATAAAATAGCATGATGCTGCCTTATTTAGCTTATTCGCATTATTTTGTTACTATAATTCCATTGGTGACCATGAATAACAGAGCTTGGATGTTTCAGAACATATTGTACTTAGTTTTCTTAAAGTAACTTTGGGCACAGTAAAGGAATAGATAATGCAACCTGTTGGCAGCAGACATTTTTACCAAGGGCTTTAATCCCTGGGAGCAACTCTTGTGACTCTCTGCTTTGGTGATAATGGCACTTCAATATTCTATACATTTATGGAGCTGCCTTGTTGTCTGCATTCTCTTCAGTGTCTGTAGCAAAGATGTGAAGTCTGTATTAATGTTAGTCAGAGAAGTCCAGAAGAAAGAAGCGGTAGCTGGGAGACACACTAATACCAAAAGAAATGTATACGTGTGTGCATGCCTCCCCTACTGCTTGATAATATGATCTGCAAAAACACCCATAAAAGTCAAAAGAAAAAGTGCTCCTATTTGCTGTGGCAACAGACATTCAATTGAAGGAGCTGTTTGCCACATTGCGGCAGGCCTGATCATGGACCAACAGGCACAGCCCCTGGAGCAGCAAGATATCTTTTTTTTAAAAAAAGTGATAGTTCTGATCAGGAGTATCCCACGTCATTTAAGTTAAATGCAGCTATTGCAATATGATGGTGAATAATCTATTTTGTTGTGATTGTAATTGCATGGGGAATGGTACAGCACACCTACCCTGTCGTGGAAAGTATTCATAGTATTTGGGGTTTTGGTCACTCGTCCCATTAAAAGTCTGATAGGATTTTTCTTATACATCAGCTTGGAATATATGCATGGAGTTATTCTGTGCATTCTGAGGTCCTTTCTTTGTTTCATCAGTTTTATTTCTATTCTGCCTTTCTCCCAAAGTAACCCAAGGCAACTAGCAAAACATTTTTTTTTCAAATAAGAACAGAATAATGTATAATATCAAAATGCAATTAAACACTTACTAATGCTAAAAGACCACTTCCTCTAAACAATGTAAAACATTTTAAACGTACATTAGAAACACTCAAAATAAAAAAATAAATTACAACATTACTCATTAAGAGCCCCGTTCTTCACAACCTACCCAGTTACTAGAGTCCTGCCAGAAAGGAAGAGTCTTTAGCAATGGTAGAAAGACAGCAGAGAGGGGTCAAACTAGCATTCCATAGAAGGAGGTTTGAGGATGATCTGATGAAAAGTTAGAACAGAGGCATCCACCTTTTAAGAATTGCCTAGCTTTTGATAACTCATTTGATATGAATATAGCACTGAGAAAACTCCAGGCTATAGTGGCTTGTCTCTGATACCTCTAAGCTCAAATCCTGTACTCTGCCTCTGAACAGTGAGATTGCCTTCTGAGTTAGTGTGCATTGGATTGCTTTGTAGCACTGCAAACTGGTGTACTTGTACTTGCATATAAGTTTTATTGGGTTACATTAGAACACTATTCATGTAAAAGCTGTAGATCAGTGAGTCCCAGCCTTGGGTAACCTCCAGTTCCCAGAAGCCTTCCTCTGCCAGCTGTGCTGGCCAGGCTTTCTGGGACTTGCAGTCTAAGAACACCTGGGTTACCCAAGGTTGGGAACCATTGTTGTAGAGCAGTGGTGTCGAACTGTGGCCCTCCAGATGTTCTTGGACTTCAACTCCCAGAAGCCTTCACCACCACCTCTGCTGGCCAGGATTTCTGGGAGTTGAAGGCCAAGAACATCTGGAGGGCCACAGTTCGACACCACTGTTCTAGAGGATTTTCTGATACTCAAATTGCCTCCTATTTCAATCATCCTGTTGTCACAGCCATATGGATATGGGCCTAACAAAAATTCAACTCATGTTCAGCTAAATCAGTGATCACAATAAACTGAAGTTGTTTACAGGCCAGTGAAATGTAAAATGTATCCAGCCGGCACGCCATTGCCCCACTTATGTAAATATATCTATTTATTAATTCAAACATTTCTACTAAATTTTGTCTTTAAAGACATTCTGCCTTTCAAGGGATTCCTGCTAAGCATACTACAATAAACTGAAATATATTAAAATGACATACTAAATGATAAACAGATAACATCAGCTGGGACTTCAACACTTGATTATCCTGTAGATCTCAGATTGAATGGTCTATGAAGGGCACTCCCATAGAGCCTACAGTGATGAGTATAATCAGGTTTCCCTCAGAAGGGCATTCCACAACTGGGCAATGAAAGCAATATGTGGGAGCTTATACAATAAGCATTTTTTGAATGGCATAAACTCTTACCGCCACAGAAAATGAAAAGTTCATGCTCAGCATAAACTACGTACTTGCTTCCTTAAGCTAGTGGAATGCAAAGAAGGGCTTTTTATGTGGAGCTGTAAGTTTGAGTAGAGACACGGAGATGAAGAGAGTCCCTAAGATTTCTGTCCCATATCAACTCACCAAATTTGTTAGACTTATTTGGAAAAACAAGGAAACCAAAAATCCACAGCACCCTAATTTGTGTTGAGCTGTTTCTCGATGAGAAAATTTCAAATCTGAAATTTGTTTCAGATGAAATTCGGCGACAACTCTGATTCTATTCAGTTGCTCTGTAAGAAGTAAACCTCTTCCTGACTTCCAGACTTTGAGGCAATTAATGTAAAGTCATTGATATGATTGGCAAATAACTGGAGCATTGTTGTCATGCCTCATTATTCTCTTTTGCATGTACTGATCTATGGAGGAGAAAGGAGTAGACTTCTGTGCTTCCATCCCTTGTCAATGATAGCATTTTACTCCTCCTAGTTAACTAAAGTGCAGATACTAGGTACATCAGGTTTTGCAGTAAATGTGAAACAAGGTTGTCCCAATGTCCACCACTAGTATTTCTAGTGACATGGTGTGCTATGAAATCTTTTGCATATGTTCTCCAAATGCCCAATTTAGCAGATAAAATCAGGTGTGTGTGCGCGCACGTGCATGGTAAGGTATTAGGCCTTAATTAACTCTGGAGGAATAATGCCAGAATTCTGTACCATGTGTAACCTACACTGTTTGTGCCATGTTTTCATACGTATGTGCTTTACTGTCTCATCCCTTAAAAACATGTTTCCTGCTAATTCCCAATCAATTCCAACTGTTGGCTGTGTTTGTCAACTAAAAGTATTGCATGGATGTTAACTTTCCTCTGTCTTATCAAAGATGAAGAGACAGAATGACACATTTCTTAGAAGCTGTCTTAAATGGCATATGTGGAAAAGGGCTAGAGTCTAAAGCAGTTTAATTGAATAATCTGAATGAATCAAGGTAGCATCAGCTAAGTTGCACTTTTTTTCAGGGAGGGGGTTACTAGAGAGAAGTGACTCCTCTTAGGAATACAAATATACCAAAATACACCATGTGATTAAAAACAACAACACAAATATTAGTCCAGATTCTCTTGCATAGTCATGCTGGCATGAACACTGATGGCACAGCTATTGAAGGGAAATTAGTCCACTTTAAGAAACCAGCATGCTTAGCAATGCAACAGATAATGTCTGCAGTGATTGCTAAATTTGAGACATGTCTCTTCCAAAAGTTCTGTTGTTAGTATTACAATTGTGTAACTATGGCAGAGGATTTGGGCAGGTATCTGGACCATTGGTTTCTTTTACACACACACACACACACACACGTTCAACTTTCCTTGCATCTGTACTACTGCATCCTGATGCTACACAACAGAGGCTTAAAACTAGTGCCAGCCAAGTCAAAATTGGACAGAGAACCTTTCTTCTGGGTTTTTTGATATGTTGATTTTTTTTGCTACAACTTGCTCTAGTGCACAGTTTCCTTGTGTGAACTCCAGTGCCATCTTGATGCATGCTGATTTTTGCACTATGGCATGCTTTTACTGATCATTCTCCACATCTCCACGCCTTACATACACTCCTGTTTAATATCCTTGGGGTAGCAGCTATTTTTCTGTTCTGTTTTTTAAATTTTAAATGTTTTAATGTTAATATTTTTGCACCATGGATTCCCAGTGTGGTGTAGTGGATAGAGTGATGGACTAGGGCTCTGGAGAAGAGGGTTTGATTCTCCACTTGGCTATGGAAACTCACTGGGGGTATGGAACTGGTAAAATGACTCCTTAAATATCTCGGTTACTTTGAAAACCCTATTAGGATCATTTGATGCCACAAAACACACACACACACACACACACACACACACACACACACACACACACACACACACACTTTGAATATATTGCTTCCCAACCGTTCATTAAAAAACAATACAAAACTAAACAAAAAACCCACAATTTTCTGTGTTGATAGATGGAGTTATACATAGTGCTGTAGTAATATTGAAGCTCACTGCAGCTGCTTATGAACTTGTTACTGCTTAGACTTCCATGCACATTACAGTACTAGGAAACTATGGGTAGGGATTACAGCAGAACTAGTGTGAGCGTTCATGAAATGCCCATGCTCATCGGGAGCTAGGCATGTGACACTTGCGTAAGTCACCCACTCTTTAAAGTTACTAACAAACTAACTCCCCTATCCTGTTCTCCAGTATATATCCAGCATATGCTGGCAGAGCCAGCTGGCCGTTCTTGTAAAGTATGCCATGTAACAAATACAGACAGCATTTTATCAAGTGGTGACTTGTCGCTATGTATGCTTATTCACCAGTATTCAACTATGTGCTTCTACAGTGATGCAGAGAATTTCAAGTCATCTCCAGCTTTCTAATCATATGTTGAAATGGAGATAAAAACCAACATTCACTGGATAAGACAGCATTTTTAGCAAATGTTTGCTTTCAATCTATACAGCACGATAATGTAACCACTTGGTAAAAAATTGTTGTCTGTATTCACCCTACATCTCCTAAGCCCTGTGGAGCTGCAGCGTTTGCTTGAAATGCCCTGGGCTGGCAACTCTTAGTTTGTACTGATGATTCCCTGAAGTTAAAAAGAGTAAATGTTGATGGTCATATGTCGTACCTCCCCAGAGATCAGCTTGCCCAATGTCATTAGTCATAATTTCTACTCCTTTCTTTAAACATAGCTGATTTTTGTTTTCCAGGAAGGATGAGTAACATTTTCTTCCCCCATTGGCAACACATTGAAAAAGGGGCTTTGGGATGAAGGAATTATTGACCATTATACTCATTCTATGTTTAGTAATAGTAACTGGCTGTCTTGTACCATTCCCCTTGAGTATCTCTATGTGTACTGTACTGTAAACATTGTGGTTTGTATTGATAGGGGGCCCATTAATAATGTCCTTTTTCACAAGGAATTGACACGAAGGGGTAAAATGCCTGAGAAGAAAGCTATTTCCAAGCCTCTCTTTTCCTTGGGAATCACCCTGCACTAGATCATTCATTGCAATTTTGTCAGCCAAAGTTTTCTTAAAGGCTTTATAGATTCTTCCCCCCACCCCCGGTCAAGTTACGCAAGCCCCAATGTAAGAGTTGGGAGATTGTGATATAAATGCATTATATTTCAATTTTTCAGATACCGGTATATTTGGTATTCTTCATACTAAAGCCATGTTCAGATTTCAAATATTCAATAAAAATGGTTCTAACTGTAAAACATTTTGAAAGTAATGGGCCCCCTATAACAGAAAAAAAATAGTTTTTTTAAAAAAATTCCATAACTGAAAAGCACTGTGACCTCATGGCATTGTCTTCTTGGTTTTTGTCTGTTTGTTATTTTGCCTCATTTTACCGGACAGTATATTAATCAATCCTGGAAACCATGTGAAGATTCAAGAGGGTACTTTAGGATTCTTCATTGCAAGTGATGCCAAAGAAGTAAAAAGGTAATACTTTGTCACATTGTATTTGCTCCCTAGATATGCCTTCACTTCTGCTTCTGCTAATTTTTGTAATGTGGTCCACAGTTCAAATTAAAATTTCTCAAGTGATTAAAACAACTTCAGTAGCAATTCTCCGAACATGTTTTAGGATCTAGCCTCATACATATCTCTTTTGGGTTTTATCTAATGCGGCCATGACATAATGGAAAGTACTTCCACCTATTTAGGATACAACATGCAATATTCACTGTTCCCCCTTCCACTACCTGTTGCAATCTTTATCCATATTTTATTCTGGTGCAAAGAATTTCTTTGCTCTTAGAAGCATTTTTTGGGGGGGAAGGGAGTTGGAGGTGGTGACAAGATGGACAGGGATGAGTAGCAAAAATGGGGTGCTCAAGTTTGCATGAATGGGAGTGCTTTCCGTTAAGACAAATCACACTAGATACAATCCTTTGTGTGGAGAAGAACAGAAGGAATAGAACAGTGTTTCAGTTTCATATAAAAGAAGGCATTTGATGGGCTGCAATAAAGGTCCATCTAGCCCATCATTCCAAGTGGTACCCACTGAAATGCTTCATACCAGGGCATGGTATAAGAATCTCCATTCCGTTTGTATGTTCCCTAACATATAATATGCGAAGGTATGGTATCTAAACAAGGAGATTAAATGTAAGAGTTAACACTCGTAGAAGTGAATTTGTGGAAGCTCTATGCAAAATCACTTAGCTTTGACTTTAACTTGTATCAATTGTAAATACTATATGCTTTGTTATTGTATTTCAGTCTTGAATATCTAATGTGACTGACCTAATAAGTCATTTATATGGTATACTATCTCCTTTCATCTGTGCTGAACCTTACACTTTTACAAAAGTAGTAGTAGTGTACTTACAATTTTATATTCTTGTCATATGATCCTTCAGCTTACCTCCAGTGCATCATTTGATCATTTTTGTATTTAAACGAAGTCCTGCATTCTTGAACTTCTTATAAGAGTGATCTTTTCAATAGCGTTTCCTGTACTATTTTCAGCATTATTGCAGGATTTGGGGGGATGACCAGAACTTCTGGGTAGTCAGAAAAAATGCATATATTGCAAATGTAACCCTACGACAGATGCATATAAATGCAATTTGATATTAACTGCTTTATTTTCAATCAGTTCCTTAATTGCCAATATATATACCTTGCATTTTTAATGTCATTGTACATTGAATAATATATCACAATTCCATTTTTCCCCTGATTTAAGTAGACATTCATGCTTTATCACTGTACTCGTAGATATATGGAGTTAATCACTTTTCATAAATATGTCACACATAAGCTCAGGAGTCATTACCAGTCTTTTAGGAAGGGAAGGATCACATGTAATTATACATACACAGTCTCTGTGGCTCACGTGTGACATTACTAGTGAATAACTTTCCAAGTCATCCTCCCCCCTCGTTAAGTATCTGAAGAGGATGCCAAAATTTAGAAAAGGCACATTTGTACTTGATTGGCTGTTATTTGACAGACTAGACAAGTAAGTATTCTAAGAGAAAATTCACATAGAAAACACTCTTTGTGTGCATTTAATCAGTATCTTATTTGGCACTGTCAGAACAGAGAGAAGCAGCTGGCATCCCCTTCCCCTGTCACCTTGTCCACATAACCAAGGATCAATTTGCAAAAGAATGATACTTCTTTGCTGCAGTTGATTTAAGATTGGTGTGCTATGTTGGTTGGAGTGTGGCCTAGAACAGGAGACCCAGATTCAAAATACCATTGAAATATGGAGCTTACTGGGTGATTTGGGTTACTCACTGTCTCTCAGACAACCCAGGTACATGGAGGGAGATGGGACTCCATATGCTATCTTCTTGGAGGAAAGGTAGGGTATAAATGTAGTATTAAAAGAATGTAGTATAAAAAGAATGTAGTATAAAAAGAATAAGGAGTAAAGATGAGATAGAAAAGATAGATTGGGAAGAGTGATGACCCTTATCTAAAGCAACAAATGACTTTGGGCTTTAAAAAAACCAATAAAGGATCAAGATGTGAGGTAACACTCTGTCTTGCAAATACAGTGGTGCCTCGCTTGACGATTACCTCATTAGATGAGGAAATCGCTTGACAATTAGTTTTTTGTGACCGCTATTGCGATCGCTAAACGATGATTCAATGGGGTTTTTTCATTTTACGACGATGGGTTCCCTGCTTCGGGAACCGATTTTTTGCTTAGCGACATCAAAAACAGCTGATTGTCAGGTTTCAAAATGACCGCCCACTGTGCAAAATGGCTCCCCGTTGTGCTTTAGGACGGATTCCTTGCATTATAAGCACCAGAAAATGGCTGCCTTATGGAGGGAGGATCTTCACTGGACGCTGAAGTATTTCGCCCATTGGAACGCATTGAACCAGTTTTCAATGCATTTCAACGGGCTTTTTTGTTTCGCTTGACGAGGATTTCACTTAATAGCGATTTGAATGGAACGAATTATCCTCGTCAAGCGAGGCACCACTGTATTGATTGATTTGTGAATCTGGTTTTCAGATAGTATCATGTCACGCATTAGCTATTCATATTTTTAATTTAAATGTCAGTCTTTGTGCCCAGGAGGCTTTTAGGCTTTACACACTCGTACCATAAAAGAACTAAAGAATGAAAAGCTACGTTGAGCAAGGGTTTGGACTCAGTGACCTTATAGGCTCCTTCCAACTCAATTATTCTATGATTCTATACATTAATAAATTTATAAATTATTAATAATAATTTAAAAACGCACCACCAATGTCATATAGACTTATGTCCATTTGTATAAGATTAGCTGCTAGGAGGAAGGATGGGGTGAAATTCAGATGCATAACAACAGCATCAATCTAGTGTTGCTCAGAAAAAGTAGTGTGCCTTTTGCCAAGCCCTTTTCTCCAACAGAACAGAACTACCTGATATGGAGAAAATTCCATAAAGAGGGTGTTGCTCCTACAAAGGCCCTGTTCCTTAGAGGTATATGTCTAATTTTAGGTGTCAAAGGCACACAGATTGTGGCACCACCCCATAATTTAAAACATATAGAGGAGCTCATTTTAAAAAGACAGTTTACATTTAGAAAGGAATTTAGCTGGGCCCAGGATATTACAAGATTGTTATTTGTAAATTCTGTTGACTCATAATAATAGATAAAAAGATCTTGCTATGTTATCAGGGGTTTACTGGTTGTCTCTTGTCCTGTTTCTTTGGTCTCTGTATTTCTACTGAAATGTTACTCTAAAGGAGCCCCTCACTTAGTGGTTGGGGACTGTGGGAACACTATAGAAAGGAGACATGGGTGGCAACAACCTCAGGGAGGCAGAATCACCTTTCACTCACTCAGATATAACATGGACTCTAAGGCAAGATTAATAAAATACCAGAGCTATTTAGGCACCGTAACTGTAAGAATCATTGCTATTGCCCTATATTTGTTTCATGACAGCATCTGAATTCCTCCAAAACACTAAGCTATGTGAAACTAAGTGGAACAAATAGCCTTATATATCTTCAGCTGTCTGTTTAGAAAAAGGAAAATCAGGGGGCTTTGAGCCAGCAATTCTGCTGCCAAGAACCGTGTTTTCATCTCATGTGTGTTTGGATAATAAAGTCACTTTGGATGCTACTTTCCAAGATGAAAGCTGGATGATCTGATCCACGGTGTCATATTTATTAACCGTTCCCCCAATTATTTCCAAGTTAGATTTATTAAAAGAAGCACGAACTTGAATCACCCAGCCTTGTGTTTGAAATTAATTGTCTTGTAGCAAACATTTCCTTCTTTAAATGTCTAAACCTTTCAAAAGATTAAAGGAAATTAGTGCTGGCATGTTTCATTAATTTGGCACTTGTAGCAAGGAGGAAATGTGGGACTAATTTCATTTGTATGGATTAAGAAATGTGTCAGTTTTTCCATTCTCCCTCCCTCTCTAGGGCATTCTTTTACTGCAAGGCCTGTCACGATGACATCACAGATCCCAAAAGGATAAAAAAATGTGGCTGCAAACGACGTAAGTAATGTTCCCTCCCCCACCCCTCACTTTCCTCCTTTCCTACTCTACAGGAACTGTCAAACCTTAAAGGATCTCTTTATATTTCTACATTTTTCAGTGTGGTGGAGAGAGGCTAAGAAATCCATCCATCCATACAACACTATATAATATGTTTAATGTATACTATATTTGCAGTGCACTCAACATTTATACCACTTGTTCAAAGCTCTGTCATCATCAGAAGAACCTCTTTTGGGTGCAAGTTAACAAATTTCAAACAATATCACATGTATTAGGGTCAGAATCACATTGCTGGTGTTTTCTTACTGTACCCCCTCCTTTCCACCATTTTAAAGCAGATTTCAATGACTAAATATGTTTACAACATTTTTGAGCCAATCCCACTGCATTTTGCACTTTAGAAACCCACAAATTTTCCCTGGTTTCTGATGCTGAAGGGAGAATTGGGGTTGTGTTCTTCATTATTCTGCAAGACAGAGAGAAGCAGCAGTCAGTCTCCTGATCTGCTTTTTCTCTTCTCCAGATTGCTTTGTCTTGCTTTTTCTCTTCTCCAGATAAGTAACTTAGAGCTGAGAGAATGTATTTTCTATGCATTTCTATTGTGGTGCATTGTTTTAATAAGGCAGAAATTTCCTTCAAACATCTGCACAAACTAGAATTGTAAGTTTGGTTTGCTTTGCTTAAGCAGTACCTGGGGGCCAAGCATGGTTCAGAGCAAAATGGCGCAAGAAGTTTTAAGGGGTTGTTTTTCCTCTTTCTAAAAAAACAAAAAAGTGGGGTGAAATTAACAAAGTAATCCCATAGAATGCAAGCAGCAGCCCAGAGTAATATCTGAGCCTTGGGAAGCAAAGGAATGATACAGTCTTGAGCTGAACCATACCAGTCAAGTTTTGGCAAGATCCCAGTTTCAAAGGAGCAAAAAATCAGTGGTGTATTAAAAGCCAAAGCCCCTTTATTTCCTTGAAATCCTCTCCTAACCCCTGTGAGTGGGAACATACACCCTGCTGGGACTACCCAAAGTCTTCCTGTCAGATTCAGGTGCATCACTGTCACCAGAGGGATCTGATGTGGACAGCTGTCAATTATGGACACGGTTCATGGGCCAATTATCACAGTTCTTCTCTGTGTGACTCATGAGCATAAACCAACACTCCAAGAAGACTTGGAAACCCTGCTCTCTCCGAAATATTAAATGTCAGCACCTGCAGACTTAGGTTGTGACTACACTGGAAAACCAAACCAGAGTGATTTGACTTTCTTGCAAATTGATTTGCAGCCTGTGTTAGGTTTCAAATCACAGTCAGTGCTCATACAGGAGCTGCAGATTGATTTGGGATTTTACTGTTCTTAGTGGGTACGATGTGGCACATGTTTCAGCTTGGAGCCCCCCCCTTCTTTCCTTCCTTCTTTGGTCCTCCTTCTGTTGGTCCTTCCTTCCTTCTGCCAAAATGACAGGAAACTGACGGAGACATAAATACAGGAAATAATAATCATGATGACCAGCAGTAAAGTAATAGGTTGATCTAGTGCTAATCTCATATATGTAAGAAATAAAAAAAAATCAGAGAATGATCAAGGGAGATGTGCTCCCTTAGTCAAGCCCCAACTGCCTGTGTCACTGAAATAACACCTGCAAGAATGTATCACAACTAACTGCATAGGGGAATGGCCATTTGAATCACTGGTTGAAAAAGTAGAAGCCCCCCACACACACACATCAGTAGGGAAGAAAACCTTCTTTGGGAGCCAAAAAAAGGGCTGAGCCAATTCAAATCAGCCTTAGCACCACATGGTAAGTAAAAAGTACTTTGAATTCACCCCTTTTTATAAGCAGAGCAAATCCTGCAGTATTTGACCATGTAGTCACAGCCTTAAACACATGGCACATGTGACTGACACTCACTAAAAGCAGTATCTGCCATGCTGAATAAAATGAAAAGGAAGGATGGTCAGGAAGAAACTATTTGGTTCAAGACTTGTTGAACCAATTTTGAACACTTCCTGTAATCCAAGTCCATTTTGATTTTTCAAGTTTGATATAGACTACAGAGAGCAGAGAAAATTCACCATGCTGAAGTTACGCAAAAGTAACTCTAGATTGACTTCATGTCATCAATTTTTGTTGAAAACAGGAAATTTTCACTATAAGAAATTTCTATAAACCCCTCACAGAGTATTTAATCATAATCAGGATTTTACTATCTCTTCCAAAGGAATTAGTTTGAACAGCAATTTATACAATAAACAGAATCAATTGGCACTGTTCTTTCTGGACTGTGTCACCTCGTTTTGTGTTTAAAAACTGGGTATTGCATGTTTGAGTGTTCTTCAACAATTTAGAATTCATCTTGTGTGGTGAAAACTGACTTTTCTGCCATGTCCTCTTCTGGGTATGCAGGGTTTTTAAAAGGGACAGGGAAGTCTGCAAACAACAGCAGATTTCCAATAGTATATTCCAGGAAGAGTTTTAGCTCTTGATTCTAGTGCTAGTTGGGTCTGTACTTGTTCCCTTACATGGATGCTAAAGTTACTATGTTTGGATTTGCAATCCATTCAAAAATACTTTTAAGTCACATAATATTAGTGATTAGCATTAAAAGAGGAAAATAAACATTTGGAATGTCACAGAGAGGAAATGAGAGAAGGGAAATTTAATCCATTGAAAAGCTTTTGAGTAAAAATTTCATCTAATTCCATTGGAAAGCTCTTGGATTCCTCTCTGAGGTCCCTCCCTGTATGTAGGAAATAGTTTATTAAACACAAGGACCAGTCATTCCAGTGAATGAAAAAGTGTTGGGCAGACACTGAAATAAAATGAAGCATGGTAAGGAAGGAAGTCAGAAGCATTGTGCTGAGTGTGGAATCAGATAGAAGGGAGTAAAGGCACGGATAGCACAATTACACCTTTGCTCGTTGAACATTTGCTTCCTTTTTTAATGAAAATCCATGTGTACGTGTAGGGCAGAATTACTTTTTTTAAAAAAGATCCTGCCAACAGACATCACAATTAAACTCAGATGTCCAGAACTGGATATTTGCTGCCAAGAAGCACTTCCAAGTTCCTCATTTGTGATGGAAATGGAGGTCAAAAATCCTGGAGGTGAGGAGTTGAAGAAGAAAGCAGTATGTTCCTTTTCTCTCCCGCTACAAATTTCTGCCACCAGAAACTGTGGTGGTAGCCAGGCTTTGGAAAGGAACTTGGCCGCACACTCTACAATTCTCGCCACATGCCCAGTATGCAGTTGGCATGAAAGCACATGTGATAAAGTGATCCCTTGTTAGTGAGCACCTGTGTCTAATTATACAGGGTCAAATCCCATTGATTCCAATTGATGTGAATGAGTGCCAGATGTAATGGGGCTGTTGCCTGTAATTTGATTAAGGCATGCTGTTGAAGTATAACAGTGACCTATTTCAGACATCTGAATGCTACTTGTGATTTTTATGGGCATCCAGCAGTGATGCGTGGTTGTCTCTCAGAGCACACTGTCTGACATAGCGAATCAGATCCCTCAAGTTAGCCCATATCTTAGGCAGTGGAATAGCAGAAGTAGTGTTACTACTTTTAAAAATAATTACTGTGGTGAATCCTTACCATTAAGTCAAAATAGCCCCCCCCCAAATATATATATATATATGTAAACATAAAGAACATACTTGTATGCAGTATAAGACTCTCCCTAATGCTCTCTCTGAGTGGTTTTCAAACAGTGGGCTAAATCCACTGGGATAAATCTTAACTAGAGTGAGTGGACTCATAGATGAATGATACTTAGAAAGATCAGCACTTACATAAGTCTCATTCATTCATTAGTTCTACGCTAATTGAAACTAACAAGTGAATTTAGCCCAACCTTCATGGAACTGGTTTCCTATGAATACCTTTGCATATTTATAGGCATTGAGGAAACTACCAGGGCATACATTCGTTTTGCAGAGGATGCTGCCCTGTAATCAGCAGAGTGTGTTGCCTACAGTACTTGGAACACCCTAAGAATTCCCCTATGGCTGTGTCTCACTAGAGAAGAACAGTACTAATGGACAAAATTAATGCTCTTGAAAAGCTCTTGGAAGCTTCCAGGGGACCCCAAAGTGAAAACCAGTGATCTTGCTCCATCCTCTTGGTTAGACATTCACTCCTGGCAGCCCCCCCCCCCGCCCCCAGTAGGGTGTTTTTCCTTTTTACTCTCCAAGATTCCCCTTTTATCAGAGTTGCTAAGGCTGGCCCTGAGGACCCTCTGTTCCCCCACTGAATGATCATCCTTAAACTCTTAGGAGCACTGAGAAAAGTCTAATAGGATCTGGCTAAAGCTGTATAAATACTGAATGTCAATAGCCTCAGAAAAAGAATCCGATTAATTTCAGTAAGGATTAATTGCACACAAGATTGCAAGCCATGTGTGGAGAAAAACAGGTTTGCAGGAATTGTAGGAAGTAATCTCACCTTGCTACGTCACTTCTTTGTGTCCAGTAGAAGTTGACTAATTTGATGTAAAATGTCGAGCAGGTAGATCAGTACTGACAATTAATACTGTAAAGCTGCTGCGTGTGGACCTCTACATTCCCTGCTCAGTTTGTCAGCTTCCTTTATGACAGCAACATGAAAGGCCCTTATCTCTCCCCCTCCCCATCTTTTGGTTTTGCTCACAAGCACTATAGTAACAATTAGAAACATTGAAGGGAAATTATATGTAAAATGAAATGAAGGAAAAAGAATAAACCGGTATGCACAGGTGAATGAAATGTGAAAGAATATTTTTTTTAATGTGGAGATCTTAATTATTATGGCATTAATTACATGCAGCTTTCTGGGATAGTTAAAATACATGTTCTTTAATAATGCATCTGAGGTTTTACGTCCCTTCAGATGCTGTCTGAACATTAGCTTTAGTATTGTCAGGGTCTAAAAGTGAGCCTGACCTACATAGCTATTTGTCCAAACCTGTTAGGCCTAGTATTAATAATTCAGCACAGAGCTCTGCAGCTCCACAAAGCCAGAGATAATTAGAGTAACTGTGTTTTCCTTTCACAGAACCTTTTCCTCTCCCTACTACCCCTCCTCTCCACATCCCTTGAATAATCTGTAGATTTTCATGTCACATTGCCCACAAAAGAAATTGTGGTGTGAAAAGTCAGTACCCCAGACTAATAAAGTGACCTTGTATGGGTGTTTTTCGTTCTGTCCTTGTCTCAGTTTTATTGCAGCTTTCCAGCAAAGAAAAAGTATGAATATAAAGACATATAATTCAGTACAAATATATACTCATTATATACTAGATATATAAATATCCAGTATATAATTGATGAGGGCCATGTTTATTGGCTGATCCATTAGACCCATCTGTTGGAGATCTCTTCAACTATTTGAACAGGATCTCCTAATTAATAGTGTGCTGCTTCTAATATAACCACTTATGAAAATTGTGAGCAATCAATGCCATTTTGGAAGAGTACTCATGCTGCTTTTGCACATAGGAGAGGACACTTGTTCTGAGAAAATGTTGGCTGTGAAATGGACACACATCATCTAAATGAAGGGTGGACAACATTGGCCTATGGGGTGTGTGTACCTCCCCAAGGCCATTTTGAGAACCCCAGACCCCCTCAAAAGATTCCAAATGAAAAATAATCAAAGCCAGATGTGGATTTCTTCTGATTCTCCCCCTAACTATAAACTTTAGCCGTCTGTGGCCATTTCCAGGTTTGTTGACTAAATGGAGTCATGCAGATGAAGGCTTGGCCCTGAACCCCATCACAGATGCCCACTCAGATCTAAGTAACAATTAAAAATAGATTATTTTATTTCTGCAGAATCACTGCTTTTTAAATGTGGAAATATGTGCTTATTGACTATTTTGATTAATCTGTTGATCAGTAATAATGTACAACATTGACTAATATTTAGTTGGATGACAGCTCTAAGGTTTATATTTGTGACACCCTGAGGTGAAAGTTCAGTACTGGCTGGTATGTTTAATCCCCACCCCCTTCTACTAACATTTTTTTCCCCTAGCCATAATTCTTTCTTCCCAAAGGTGGTTGTTGAACCCATGAGGTACAGATCATGTGTACACTGATGTGTTTGAAGGAAACTGCCTTAATCTGTGATAATTTACAATGTTTTGATTTATTTTTTTCCCTCTTGCTGCCTTGGAACTTGTCCCTACTATATTTTTACTACAAACTGATAGTGATCTATTGTGAGTAAAAACGGGTTCCCTGTAGCCCAGAGTGCAATTCAACCTGTCTTTCTTCCAGTAGAGAGTATTCATTTGTTCAGTATGATGATTCTTTTATGTTGCATGTAGCAGTGGCGTCTCATACCTACACCTTTTTCATTCTTTATGCCCATATGGGTTCCAGGCAACATTGAAGAAAATACAGCAGTCTTTCCCCCTGGCCTGTTCTGTCTCCCCTCCCTCCGCTCCACTGTACTTTTCAGAAACATTTCTTTTACTTATAAATCCTCAAACATCTCTAATTTCTTGTGCTCTATTCTGAGAAATAGGCTGGGGGAAATTACCATCCTTCTTTACTGCTGCTCTAAGCAGAATTCAATGCTGGACATGTTTTTGAAATAGCATATCTACACCACATTGCATTTAATAACACTACCCCATACAGTACATGGAGCCCTGGAAACTCTATGGCTGTGGTTCAGAAAGTATCCACTGTACAGTTTTCAGGATCCTCTTTTGGGGATATGGGGACAGCTTATATCCAATTGAAAGCAACTATATGTGTCTATTGCAAATATGCCCTCAATTTCTTCTGCTGCCCAGTTTTAATTCCTAATCAGGGATGCACAACACATTAAATGCAAAGCACCTGGACACTGAATGGCTTGAAGGATCATCTTATAATATTCAAATCTAGTAAATACTCTTTATATGTTCTCCAAACAGTGCAAGAACGAGTTGTTTATAAAGTGGCTGCCTTGCTAGGAAAACATTGAAATGACTGAATCATATGGGCAGAGAGACAACATGTATTCTTTCTCATGGAATCAACAGCTGTCTCCCAGGAAAGTTCTGTTCTATGTCAGCAGCCTTCCAGAAAGGCATTAGTCACTTGCTTGGGCCATATAACTTCTCAATGGAGTCACAGATGAGAAAATACCAACAATTGACAGAATATGTAAAAGACACTATAATGTGAACTCTTTCCTAATACAAATGTTTCCCTGTGTTAAAAAGAAGTGACTGACTCTTTATCAGTCCAGCATAGAATATGGTGTTGCCATGCTCTGGTCCCATAGAACTCGAGACAGCAAAGTAATAATAAAGTAATGTTGCAGCACTAAGGACAGCTCCTGGTGGCCCACATGTGCCAACAAAGACTTAGGCCAGAAGTGCTTTCTTCTCTTTCTCTAATGGCAACTCTCATAACTTGCCTCTGCATCCAGGTTACTGCTGGACTCTGGGAACATGGGAGGTGTGTGTGTAGTCATAGCTGGGAGTGGTGCGGAGGGGTGCAAGTTAGCTGTAGGGTTTTTGCTAAGTTAGACTCTTGTCTCTAACCCACTTGCCATTTTCCAAAAGTCCAGATAAAATATTAGGCATTGGATTTCTGATTTCTTCGATAAATCCCATAGTTCCCTATCTTGAGTCCTGCCTCACATACCCATACCTACAGTCACCAAAATGTGTCTCACAGGAGAAAAGGCCTAGCTGGGAAGGCTTCAGAAGCCTATCTCTGCCCTAACTTTCTGTACAGAAAGGAAGCTTCCCCACTGCTAGCTGGGAGTTTCCTTTCTGCATAGGAAGGGAGGCCTGAGCTAGGCCAGGCCTTTGAGGTCTTCTCAGATAGGCCTTTTCTCCAAGTGAGACACATTTAGTTTTGTAGGTGTCAATATGTAAAGTGGAACTCCCAGGAGAAAGAAATCTCAAAGTCCCATTACTACAAAATATGATAATCACAACTGTGCCAATTAAAGAAGTAAATATTCTATAATGGTTGAAAGCATGGAATTTCTTAAACCTTTCCATAAAGTAAAAGCTTGACCCAGTTTGTCATATATATATATATATACTGTACAGCAGGGTCTCGACTTAACGAACGGTTCTACATACGAACTTTTCGACTTACGAACCGCTTTCATAGGAATATATGGACTCGACTTGCGAGCTTAGATTCGAGTTACGAACTGTTTTCTTTCCGTTTTTAAAAAAAATCTAAGTCATCTTAGGTTAAAAGGAAAAAAGGAAAAAGTTGAAAGCATGGAATTTCTTAAACCTTTCTATATATATATATATTTTAAAAAAACTACACCTGATCCTGTATCTCTGCTTATAAAGTTTTAGTTTTATTAAAAATGCTTGTGAAGGATGTGAAAATCAGACATAACTACTGGTATTCATATGTCTTAGGAATATATGGACTCGACTTGCGAGCTTAGATTCGAGTTACGAACTGTTTTCTTTCCGTTTTTAAAAAAAATCTAAGTCATCTTAGGTTAAAAGGAAAAAAGGAAAAAATATCCCCCTCTAGTGGCAGAAGGCAGAATAGCAGCTTCCCATTAGTTTCTATGGACGGAAAAGAGCAGATACGGATTAAATGGTTTTCAATGCATTCCTATGGGAAATGCAGATTCGATTTACGAACTTTTCGACCTGAGAACCGCCTTCCAATATGGATTAAGTTCGTAGATCGAGACCCCACTGTATATATTTAAAAAAACCAACACCTGATCCTGTATCTCTGCTTATAAAGTTTTAGTTTTATTAAAAATTCTTGTGAAGGATGTGAAAATCAGACATAACTACTGGTATTCCTATGTCTAGAATAGTGTGTGTGTGTGTGTGTGTGTGTGTGAGAGAGAGAGAGAGAGAGAGAGAGAGACAGAGAGAGAGAGAGAGAGAGAGAGCTATTCTGTGATCTGGAAACACAGCACAAGTTGAAGGTAAACTTAACCCTTTCCTCTTCTACTGCAGACCTGATGAAACGCATTCCTCCAAGGATGCTATATGTTCCTGATAGTAAGCTGCTATTGACAACAATAGTAACTCCCATCCCATGAAAAAAGCAGCTGGAGAAATGTCTTTTCTTTAGGTCTGTATTGCAATGTGGAAAGTGTTAAATCTTTCATTTGCACTGTGCTCTTAGTCCAGCTCAGGTTCTTTCATTTTACTTTCTTTAAACACTCACACAGAGGTACCATGTACACACAACCTCCCTGTGAGAGGCTAGATTAGAGTTTCTTGGTAGTCCAGGAAAAGTTAAAAGTTAGGTAGCACTGGCATTAGGTGATGCTGTGAGAAATACTAAAGCTTTCTACCCCTTTGCTGCAAAGTTATGAACTATGAGGAGCAAGATGTTCTGAACATTTTTGCTATGTCACAGTGGCCTACCTGGAGAGCAGTGGAGGTGCCATATCTGTTTTATCAGGGAAGCCTCTCAGTTCCAGATTTGTATGATAATTGATAACCCAAGCAGTACATTATTCCTATACAGAAAAAAGGTCATATTTCCTCAGACCTTGTGTAACCGATTCTAAGAGTTGTGATAAACCTGCTACCGTGTTTCCCTGAAAATAGGATAGAGTCTTATAGTAATTTTTGCTCCAAAAATGCATTAGGGCTTATTTTCAGGGGATGTTTTGTTTTTTTCATGTACAACAATCTACATTTATTCAAATAGTTATTTCATCTTCTTCTGGTTGCTGCACAATGGTGGAGGGTGGGGTTTCACTTAATTGGGGCTTATTTTTGGGGTAAGGCTTATATCATAAGCATCCTGAAAAATCATACTAGGGCTTATTTTCAGGTTAGGTCTTATTTTCAGGGAAACAGGGTAGTAGGGAGCAGGTACTGTATCTCTTTGTACATGCCCCATGAACAGAACTCTTTCTGTGGTGTGCACCATTCTTCCAAAAGAAGTATATCTGTGACATTTCTCAAAATGATGTCACCACGCTAGACAATTTTTGTATCCTTGAACTGCAATAGTATTTTATAATAGAATTATGAAGCACAAGGGAACATTTTGCGGTAGGCCAAGCAAAATCTCAGAAACATGTTCACAGTTATTCCATGATCATGTTAATCATTTGGTGTCACCTGTGAACAGGAATCATACTAATCCACCGGCTTGTTCAAGGTGATCCGTGATGGCTGATCACAGAATGTACAAAAACTACTTGTATTGATTTCTGGGTATAAATGTTCCTGTTTATTCAATTGTTCAAGATTTTGCATACTTTAAATTGTCACAATCTGGCATATTTTCAATTGTGTGCATGCAAGCACACACACACACACATACACATTCATAAGTATAAAGTTTGAATAATCAATCAATATAAAAACAGACAATTTGCTAACACAATTTTAGTAACTCCAAATATTGAATTAAAATCTGTTTCCTAAAGACTCAAATTTCAGAGGTAGTAGACAGATGGCTTAACTCATGAACTGTAATTATATTACAAAATCTTCAACTCGAGTTGTTAATATAATTTTAAAAAATCCTCCAGTTATTTATCATCCCGTATACAGGGATAGATATGCCAACATGTTCGTTTTCAATAGATCTTCCGCCACTTAGAGAAGGAAATATCTTCACACTTGCCTCTTTTCCATTTGCTGAGCACTTGCCCTGTGGATTTTGTTACTGGCATTGAGTCATGCAAGTACTTCAGCCGTTAACATCCAGATCTTGTCCCACCAAGTCTTGCTCTAGCATCATAGTGGGGAGAGAGGCATATATGAGCTCTTCATTCTGTTCTTTTCAAAAAAATTTGCCCTTTTGCCATTTATAACATTTAGAGTCACCATTTGAAAGGCTGGAAAAATATGATGCTAAAATGGGTGTTTCCTCATTTATCCCTGCTCAGATTTTGCATTTGGTGTTTTTCTAAGCAAGCTTTAACCCTATAATTTTCCTAAAACATCTGTGATCTTGGGTCAGTCACAATCTCTCAGGGTTGTTTGAGAATACAGAGAGGAAGAAGAATGATATACACTGCCCTGTGCTCTGTGAAGGAAAAACAAGCTATAAATGCAACAAACTATATACAGCTATGTGGAAGTTAGTCCCATTGAGCTTGGTGGGACTTGCTTCTGAGGAAAATGGTGTAGGATTGCACTAGATGAGTCAGATTTTATTTGTTTGTGTGCACTACCACATATCTTCTGTATTTCTCAGCTAGAGTTCCTGCTTTTTTTAGCAGCTTTGCACATATTTAACTATGGAAACTGGA